GTTTCGACTAATGTGAAAATAAGCATTTTGAACGCGAAATTCGACAAAATAGTGAATTTGTTCCGACAATCGAACAAGTACTATTTTACGCGCTTTACCCTATTCCTTTCGAGGGCGTATTGTACTAAAACTGCTAGAAATTGAACTATTATTCCTATCTCGGTTTTGCTTGTTGATAGAGTGTCTCTCAAGCTACATAATAGCCATTTGTTACTCAAATAGCTTCGTGCGGTACTCTGTGCTAGTGTTGTTGGAGATTTTGTTGGGAAATTGATTATTGTAATTGGTTATGGAGTTTAATTCCTACAGTTTATCGTCTCCTTTTCGAGTGCGGAGCCTTACCGGTATAGCTCAAACTATTTGGAAGATTGCATTTTGTAGTTTTATTCAACCTTGGACGATCTATCCATCCCAAAGAGAACGCTACTCGCATTGGAAGCAAAAGCTGTAGGGGGGAACAAAAGCGACTATGGACAACAAAAGAGATCTACACGAACACCTAACACTTCAGCATGAGCTCTATCTAATTTTCTCTAATTGCGGTTTGTTTACTTTTAGCGATAGATCACAAAATTTACTGACTGACGAACTTTGGACAAAGTAACTTTTCGGCTAACTACGGACAAATAATAATATGACTCCATCCAAAACAGACCAACTGACGAAGACATACGGTTAACAAACTGACGACTAACTACGACTCTGAAATACCGGGCTTTAAATCGGCAGCAGAGAAGATCTTTACAATCTTTCCCTGTTCATTGGCAAGCTCCTAGGAATTAGTGCCTCTACGAGAAACGATCCTGCAAGGAACGTAAGTTGGACCTAATTTTGAATTGTATGCATCTCCAGCGGACGATTGTGTGAAATTTCGACGGTAGACGTGCTGACCTACTTGGTACACTGGTGAGGGTTTATTGTACCGAAGATTATAGTTATGCTTACTGTGCTCATAGGCTCTTTCGAGGTTTCTGCGAACAATGTCGGCTACTTTGCTATCAATGGCCTGTTTTCGCTCAACTCGTTCATCAGGAGACAAGTCTCTAGTTTCGACTTCACGGAGGTGCTGATCACCTGAGGACACAATTTCGTGACCGAATACGATCTTGTACGGCGTGAAGCCTGTCGATGCGTGTAGAGTATTGTTTATTGTGTGCTCTACCTCAGATATACGTGTGTCCCACAACCTCTGGTCCATCTTCACATACGTTCTAATACAAGCATTGATACTTCGGTTAAGCCTCTCCACAGGATTGGCTTGACTGTGGTGACGGGCATTGGTCCAATACTTCACCTGGTATCTCTCAAGAAATGCCTTGAATTCATGACTGACAAAGCTAGACGCATTGTCCGAGATTAATATCTCTGGAACCGAAAATCTTCGGAACCACTGTTCCTCTAGGATTTTGGTCGTCAAGCTTGTCGAAATTTTTCGGACTGGCACTAGCACTGTCCATTTCGAAAATAGATCTAAAAGGACCAACAGGTGTGCTTTACCGGATTTGCTTCGGGGCAATGATTGAATATAATCAATGGAAAAAATTTGAAAAGGTTTTGTTACCAATCTGGGTTTACCCATTTCCGGGTGTTGCGAAACATTCGAGGGTTTTGTTTCTTTGCAAACCATACACTGCTGGACGTGCTTCTGGACGGATGTGGAAATTTTTGGCCAAAAGTACAATTTTTTTATACGGTCTAATGTTTTCTCAAACCCTCTCCTGTTTCAGCACTTGACTGCGTAAATGTTGAGGCACGCAAAGCTTCCATTGATGGGTGTAATCTAGAACATCTGTTTTTGTAGGAACGAGTTTATAGAACTTTCCATCTTCGATCTTGTAATCGAGCTCCTCTTCTGGAGAATCTTCCACCTTTTCTAGGAGGTCATTGTACCACGAATCAACCGAGACACCGACATCCAAGCTCTCCACTGCTCTCGATAAGGCATCGGGAATGATATTATCTTTTCCCCGCCGATGCTTTATCTCGAGGTCGTAGCTCTGGAGCTGACTTTTCAGAAGCTGCATAGGCCTGTTGGGCGGGCGTGAGCTTCTGAGAGAAGTATGCGATTACTTTCTCGCCCTCATCATGCTGCTGAGTTAGAATCGCCGCGATAGCGGTATCACTGGCGTCGCTCTGAATTTGAAATGATCGGGTGAAGTCTTGATTGCACAGAACGGGAGCAGATATCAGGCATTCTTTTATGCGGAGAAAAGCCCTCTCAGCTTGTTCGTTCCACACAATCGTTTTTGGTTTTTTCGAAGCAAGTTTGTGAGTGGAGCTGAAATCTCACTGAAATTGCTAATAAATGGTCTGTAATAGTTTGCCATACCCAGATACCGGCGTAAGGCGCGAATAGAGGTCGGTCGCTCGTAATTCACGATCGCCTCAATCCGATCGGGATTGGGTTTCAAACCATCAGGTGTGAGTAAATAACCCAAATACGGGAGTTCATTGAGGCAGAATTTTGATTTTTGCAAGTTAATAGAAAGACTTGCATTTGTCAGACGACGTGCTACTTCCCGCAGACTTTTGAGATGCCCTTCAAAAGTTTCGCTTACGATGACGATATCGTCAAGGTAAACGAAAACTTCCGGTTCAAGCCCTCCCTACCCCAGTACTTGATCCATCAGCCTAGAAAGAGTGGCTGGGCTATTGATGAGACCAAAGGGCAACCGGATAAAATTAAACAACCCTCTACCTAACACCGAAAAAGACGTGTACATCCTCGAATTGGATTCGAGAGGTATTTGAAGAAATGCTTTCGTGAGATCGATTGTCGACAAATACCTACACGCCCCCAATCGACTTAGTATGCGATCTTGGTGCGGCTGAGTTCTGTTTGAAAACTGATCAATTTCCGGCATTTTCGAACATTGAAAATAACATACGAAATGTCACCTTTAACCACGAGTTAAATTTAACTCGGCAATTGGTACACAGCCCAAGAAGTATTTCTCGATTACTTTTTCGAAGGAACGTATCAGCTTTTGTAAACAACGCATTTGATCGTCGATTTGGCGTAACTGGTAGCTCGCCCACGTATGCTAGTACAACCATCAGATAGGGGAAAATTTTCCCAACCTGTTAGCGGTGTTAGTATGTTGGGCGAGCTATTAGTTATGCCAAACCGACGATAAAATGCGTCGTTTACAAAAGCTGATATGTCCTTCCGAAAAGTAATCGAGATTTGTAGTTATCATTCAGGCAACGAGCGCTTGGGTCATCGAGGCGACGCCACTACCAGCAGCCAATGATCTCGACGGGAACGACGCGCAAAGTTCGAGGTGCAAAACTCGAACTCTGCGCGCTTGACAGGAACCGCCTTCCTACTGCTTCTGCTGTTGCTGCTGCTACTACTGCTGCTGCTGTTGCTGCTACTGCTGCTGCTGCTGCTGCTACTGCTGCAACCTGATTACCCACGGTCCGAAGCGAAAATGAGTTGAGGCACATTAGCAGCGCTGTTTTATAACTTTTCTGATTCAATCAGCACGATGTGCAACCAAATTGTACTTGATTATGAGGACTGGGTTTGGGGAGAACGTTTATTTCATGAAAACAGTGATAACATTATCACTTTTTATTTGTCTATTTTTAAAACAGTTTTTTTTTATGAAAAATTGAAAAAAAAAAAGTTTATAGCAACAATACGAAAGGTATTTCCTATCGGTGTATTCGGATTTTAATTTCATCTATAAATGACAAAAAATTACACCTTTTCGTGACGGTCGTAATTTTAGATTTTCGATTTACCCCCAGTACCTTCCCGTAAGGCGTAGTCTACGTCAAAAAATTTGCCTAACAGGAGACATACACTCGATGAATTACCAACAACTGACTGTAAAACATTTCTGGTACCTATATATATGAAATTATATTAACATCCAAAGTTCATCCTTTTTTCCATATTCTGCACAAAAGAAATGTACTGCCCCGCCCCCATTCATAATAAAATGGAGGGAAATCCTGTCAATTGCTGGGCTTAGAAAGTATGGTTTGTGCAGCATATGTAAAAAAAGAGGGACTTCGGATGTATTTTTTCTGCAAAATATGTAAAAAAGGAGGGACGTCGGAAGATAACCTAAATGCATATATCATGCATCATAGATAGAGATAGATAGATAGGTTCTACGTCATACTGCGGTCGTGTCTAGGACACAACCCTTTAATTTTTATTTTTATTTTGAGTTTTTCTTGGAATTTTTAATCCATTTCTAGGATTTATCATGCAGCATTTTGAGTTCAGATGCTTTACTGGAAGTGCTGCTTGATAAGAGAACAAAACAGTAACGAAAAAGCCATGAAAAACACAAATGAAAGTCAGCTGGTGCGTTCTGCCCAGATGTGCCTTGTATACCACTGTCCCCTACTTCTATTGGCAGTGAAGGTGGGGTAACTCCTACGTAAACCCCCTCCCCCCCTTCCCTCCTCAACTAGGGAGTTTGGCAAAAGAAGTGCCCGAATGATTTCAATTTCTATACATTTTTTCACAGAGCCGTACTCTAACGGAAATTCTTTTCTCTTCATAACTTTCTCTAGCTACGAGTTACGTCTCTTGTTGACATCAACATCACGCATAAAGAAAGTAATTATTTTAAGGAAGTATTCAAAAGATCCCAGGTAATGGAAGGTTTCAGCGTAAAGGGCTATAGATATTATATCATGACATCTTATTTGCATTGTTCAGAGTCAACATCACAGCTTTAAAATCAAAATCTACATTTCTATAGCAAAAATCTTCACATGTCTGCTTGAAATTCAAGAAGCCTTTGGAAGCCTTTGGAAGCCTTCGGAAGCCTTCGTTAATTTCAACATGCCGTCTAAAATTCTCACCAAACATTAAATGCCTTTAAAATGTAATTCTTCACAGATACTTCAATTCTGATATCTCTGAGCAGTAGAAGAGTTATTATTATTATTTATTATTTTTATTATTGTTATAAACTCATATTAATTAGTCATGCCATTTAAAAAGATGACACTTTGTTTTTTTTCTCTTTCAGATTCCGTAACATCATCGCAAATTCAGGGAAAAAGCATAACACCAGATGTAAGTATTATGTGTAAATGAATGAAATCTATTAAACTTACTGAAATTTATTAAACGTAATGAAATTTTTAGAACGTTAGGCATAAGTACGTTAAAATTTACGCACATTGTATTCGTGCGTTAAGGCAAAATGACAGCTGAATCCATTGTCTAACTGTCTCATTTTCTGCAACGTATACGTATACCTCCAGTTTGGAAATTAGTACAGTAAATAAGAATAATTTGTTTTTGAATTTATGGAGGTTTTTTTATATCTTTTACCGTTATCAGAAAAAAAAAATATTTGAGGGCCCCGAAGGATCCACCGGAAGATCCGGAACTTCTGTAAAATTGCCCAATTTATGAAACCAGAGCGCCTTCTACACACTTAGATTTTTTGCCGAGATGGGCACCACCGAGCAGCTCGGCATTTTATTTTGCTGGAAATTCAGCAAAAAATATGTTTGTTAGCTGAGGTCTCGGCAAAATTCCCGTTTGTTAGCTGAATCTCGGCAAGTTTTTCACTGAGATACAGCAAAATAAAATGCCGAGCTGCTCGGTGGTGCCCATCTCGGCGAAAAAATCTAAGTGTGTACGAAGTTTCTGTCTATGGAAGAGTTGTGCAGATAATCAAGGTCTTCTGCATGATGAAGAGGTTTGTTTGGAATTCTTTTACTACGCGGCGCTAGTGTATATGTGAACTCTCTGTACGGGCTATAACTTGAGATCTTGGTATTCTAAACATTCTGCCTTCGGCAAAGTTGTTCAGGAGGTTTAGTTCGGAATTTGCTCACTACGCAGTGCTAGTGTGCATATGAGCTTCATCTCCATCCAGAAAGCTGCCGTCATCACCAAAGCTTTTCAAGTGATTTATATGCATCTATTTGGAACAGAAACAGGGATTCTTTATAAAAAAGGTATTTTTGGAATTGAGCTACGTGCAGAGTCTGATCAATATGGGAATCCAAGATGGTGACTTCCGGATAAGATACCTTAATATAACATGGATATTTTCGTACTGAGAGTACAGGCTGGAAATACATGTCCGCATTACGTACATTTTCCCATACTAACTCAAAATTCTCCCACAAATCCATATCGCAACTAAAAAGCAATGGGTTGTAATCCACCATACAAACTTGACCAACCCTAATGTACACCAAATTGAAAGTTACTTGAAACTTTTTGAAAAGCCACCGTTTTGAATTAAAAAAAAAGGACATCAGGCAACGATTTCCAGCCTCTACTATAGGATTTATATTACGTACTGAAAATTTACTTACACACTAGCACCGCATAGTGAGACAATTCAAACTCATCTTTCTACGATCCAAAAAGCTTGGTCACGAAAACAACTTTGCTCAAGACAGAAACTTTCAATATAACCAGGATCTTGGGATATAGCGTATACTTGAAGTTTACATGTACACTAGCACTACATATTGCGAAAATTCTAAACTTATCTGATTATCATCTGGATGGTCTGCGAGACCTGAACAACTGTGCCGAATACATTACCTATCTTGAATGTTAGAATCTCTAGATATAGGAAGTTCAGATACACACTAGCGCTGCGTTGTGAGAACATTGTGAACTAGATTGTTTTCCATCCGAAGGAAAGGTCTCGATCACCCGAACAACTTTTTCCAAGACGGAAGCTTCCTAGATGGCCAGGATCACGAAACATTCAATGTGGTCTCTAGGGGTGAATTTATTCTTGCCTTATTAGACTGGTTTTGCTTCATGATAACATATCATCAAATAGGAAATTTCCTGAAAATCACTGTAGGGCAAATGTACTAGTGGAAGCCGTAATTGGAACACGCTATAATAAGAACCTATGGTCATAATTAGTTTATCTACCATAATTATGGAAACACCTGCACCAAATTTTTTCTTTATTTTGATCAAATCAATATTTCCCGGTTTTCTGAACACAAAATAAATCGCCGTTACTTTTTACTAGCGAAATCTGTTGTAAAAATCAACCATGCTTTTAATCCACTAAATATAATTTTTGTTTTTTCAAGATCTAGATTTTTCTGATTTTTTCTGTTTAATAATTCAATTTATGACCACTCCGATTTTTTTTAAAACTATGGAATATTGTACAACTGTTAGACTTAAAAAATTGAATCTGCAAATGTATTAAATGTATTTTTCATACAATACAACACAATACAATACAATACAATGCAATACAATACAAAACAATACAATACAAAACAATACAATACAATACAATACAATACAATACAATACAATACACTACCCATAATCGCATATCAGTCCCATCTTTGCTTGATTTCCTATCCATATGGGACTGATATGCGATTAAGGGCAGTACAATACAATACAATACAATACAATACAATACAATACAATACAATACAATACAATACAATACAATACAATACAATACAATACAATACAATACAATACAATACAATACAATACAATACAATACAATACAA